CGGTACTCCAATATATTGATTCCCAATCTTATATATCCAATCATAATCAAAGGTCCTCAACTTTACCTTCTTTAGTTTTTTGGTAGCACAAGCTCATTGGAGGTTAGAGTGGTGATGGTTGCTCTTACATAAGCCATGACTTCTTTATTGAAAAGGTTGGGTTTGAATGAAGAAATCACCTCCATTTACTAAAAGAAAAGACAAAACGGTGAAAAAAATTGTTCAGTTTGAAGAATTTTATACCAAAAATATCATCACAATTAAAATTCAAAGTCTCCTGGTTATCATAGTAGTCGCAATCATACTTTTCAATGAGGAAATTTTATATTCCTGCATAAAAATTATGAAAAAACCGCACGAGACGTGAACAAGACGTTTATGGATTATGCCACATTGAAGTAACAATACAAATAAAAGATTCAACATTTTCACGTGGTACAATATCCAGTAGCCATCAAACAAGGTATGCATGAAGTAACCGTATGCAAGAACATAAAGTTTTCAAATTTAACCACGTTGACAATCATTAAGAGGCTCAATCGCAAAATCCACTAGAAACATGTTGAATTCCATGATCTTCCCCTGGGTCTACCCTAACCGGACCAGATTTTAGATCCAAAAGAACGGAGAGTTTAACTTCAATGGGATTGTACTAAAAATAACTAGCCCCTATTTGTTTCCCATTATTTGTCCATTAAAATGAAAAATATGATAGTTATCATTCAAATCAAGCCACCATATTGACTTTTTATCTCTTATGTGAGGCCCGTAACGGCTATATTTTTGAAACACTTCATTACAAAGGCGGCACCCAAAAGCTATAAATATATGATTTTATAAAGCAAGTTTTTAGATACAAAAAATATGTTGTGCCTTTTTGAAAAATTAACACCGCCTTATATAGAAAGTTCTAGAGTCTCGTTCCCACTTCTTGAAGCAATCTAAAAATCTCTAATAATATGGAGAAGTCTGCTCTTCATTGCCATTTTAGAAGAAGCTAGAAGGGATTGCCGCTGACTATATCACCTATAAATATGGGTTGATGCGTGGTATTAATGTACAAGCAAGTGAGGGGGGAGAGAGAGGGAAGGAAGGAGAGAGAGAGACGGGATATATATATATATATATATATATATATATATGAAGTGCATAAGGGATTAGAGTACATAATGAAATTGGACCGTCGCAAAGCATAAAAGTGTGGTTTTTGATTTCATGATAACTTTAAGTTTGTTCGTTTTTGGCGAATTACTAGTCGAATTCGATTGGAATTGAGCCAATGAATAAAATTCAGCGCTTTCAGCCCTAACGCAAGGCCAATTTTGGGCAAACTCCCTCGTTTAAGCGTTTTTGCTATTTATGATAAATTTTTTTTGCAATATCTTTTTCCATAAAATTCTGATTTATATTCCATTTGTTGGAGAATGATCCTGAAGATAAGGATTTTCCATCTTAGCAGTTATCTCATATTTTTTTATTTTTGAAAAAATATCTTTTTATTCTACTTTCCGAATTTTGTTAGGTTTTTTCTATTTAAGGCGTTGTAAGCCCTTTGAGGCGACAGTTTTTTGAATTCAATAAAATTTTCCTTACGAGTTTTCTCATTTTGTGATTGTTTATCTTCCCTATAAACTTTCGCTACGTCAGCTGGTATCAGAGCCAAAATTATTCCTTCACCATGCCGCCAAGGAGACGTCCTAAAGCCCGTGATGCCCCGGTAGAGGAGGTACATAGATGTGATGAAATCTCACAGCTACGTCAACAAGTGGAATCGCTGACACAACAAATCGCTGTGCTTATGCCGTAGCAGCCTGCGCCTACAGCCCAACAGTTGGAGGATTCCGATGATGAGAATCCATTTGCACCGCTTAAACAACCATTGGATCTACTAGTTCGTCGGAGAAGGGGTGATCAGGAGGACAACCGACGTTGGGAATCAGGATTTAAGGTTGTTATTCTTGAATTTCATGGTGGGTTGAGTCTAGAGGAATTCTTGGATTGGGTGACTGCAGTGGAGGAGATCTTGGAGTTTAAAGAGGTTTCTGCCGATAAATGTGTGCCTCTCATTTCGACCAGGCTTCGTGGGCGAGCAGCAGCGTGGTGGCAGCAGACTAAAGTGACAAGATCCAGGCTAGGGAAACTGAAACTTGCATCGTGGGACAAATTGAAGAAGCATATGAAGAAACAATTTCTGCATTACAATTATGTACGAACCATGTACCAACAACTGCAGAATCTGCGTCAAGGTGGGAAAACGATTAGTGATTATATCGCGAATTTTTATATGTTAGTTACGATGAACAAGATAATGGAGACGGAGGAGCAGTTGGTGTCACGTTACGTGGGTGGTCTTCGTCCCCAAATACAGGATACTCTCAACATGTTTGATCCTGTGATAGTTTCTGAAACACATCAGAGGCCAATACAGATAGAGAAGCAACAGTCCAGGAGAACTACTAGTCCTTTCATTGCAGGAACTTCTTCCAGTAACCCACAATAGCAGGTGACACATCCTGGGTTTGGTATTCGTTGTTTTGGATGCGTAATTATAGGCCATTGGTAGTCTGAGTGCTCCAAAAATTCGTGCAGGAGACTCTTTGTTGATGAGGGGAATGGCGATTATGAAGGTCTGCCTGTATTTGACGGTGAAGGCGTAGAAGAAGCAACATAAGAGGAAAAATTTGTGGTTGGTGATGTGGGTCAGGCACTTGTGGTGAGGAGGAGTTTCCTGACTCCCGAATAACACTGATTGGTTGCATAACAATATCTTTCAATCGACATGTACTGTTGGAGGGAAGGTATGTAAATTTGTTATTGATTTTGGTAGTTGCGAGAATGTGGTGGCTGAGGAGGTCGTTAAGAAGTTGGGTTTGTAGATTGGGAAACATCCTAAACCATACAAATTAGCCTAGCTGAAGAAAGGCAACGACGTAGAAGTGTCTCAACGTGCTCAAAACAGCTTCTCAATTTGACCTACCTACAAGGATCAGGTTTTATGTGATGTAGTAGAGATTGATGCGTGTCATTTACTGTTATGGAGGCCGTAGCAGTTTGACAGGCACTCACTACATGATGGATATACCAACACGTACAGCTTTCTGTTTAGGAGAAAGAAAATTGTGTTACTACCAGATAAGGGTTCAATACAAACAGCTGGGAAGAACGCCAATTTACTGACCAAAAAGAAGTTCGAGACAGAGATGAAGGAGTCTGGGGTAGTGTATGTGCTAGTGGGAAAGTTGATTGACAGTGAGCATGAAGTTCCTCTCACAGTTCACCTATTGCTGAAGGAGTTTCATGAAGTTTTCCCAAGAGAGCTTCCAGATGGATTACCACTATTGTGGGATATTTAGCATCATATTGACTTAGTGCCTGCTACTGCCCTGCCTAACCGAGCACATTACAGAGGAGTTGCCCAGGCAAGTTGAGGAGCTTCTTGCAAAAAGACAAATCAGGGAGAGTCTTAGTCCTTGTGTTGTTCCTGCTCTTCTCACGCTGAAGAAGGATGACACGTGGCGCATGTGCATGGATAGTAGGGCGATCAATAAGATTACGGTGCGTTACCGCTTTCCTATTCCCCGCCTAGATGATTTGTTGGATTAGCTTACCGGTGCTTGTATGTTTAGCAAGCTTGATTTGAAGAGTGGGTACCATCAGATTTGGATCAGACACGGGGATGAGTGGAAGACCGCATTTAAGACGAGGGAATGATTGTATGAGTGGTTAGTCATGCCCTTCGGCCTTTCAAATGCCCCCAGTACATTCATGCGGGTTATGAATCAGGCTCTTCGCCCATTCATCGGTAAATTTTTTGTGGTCTAGTTTGATGATATTTTAATATATAGTGCTAACGATGATGATCATGTCCAGCACCTTTGGGAAGTTCTTTCAATTCTTCGCAGGGATAAATTCTATGCTGCAGTGAAGAAGTGTTCATTTCTTGCTGATAGTGTGGTGTTCCTGGGTTATGTGGTGTCATAGGCGGGGTTAGCAGTTGATACATCTAAAGTAGAGGCGATAAGTCAGTGGCCACAGCCCAAGACTATCACTGAGGTGCGGAGTTTTCATGGCCTTGCTTCCTTCAATCACAAGTTCATACCACATTTCAGTAGCATCATGGCACCAATTACAGATTACATGAAGGATGGTAGGTTCTAGTGCACTCACGAGGTAGAGTCATCTTTCCAATTGATTAAGCAGAAGTTGACTACTGCTCCAGTTTTGGTGTTGCCTGACTTTACCCAACCATTTGAGCTACATTGTGATGCTTCGAAAGTGGGTATTGGTGGTGTACTGAGTTAGAACAACGCCCGATTGCATATTTCAGTGAAAAGCTTTCTGGCCCAAAATCTCGATATAGTGCTTATGATGTAGAGTTCTATGCAATAGTCCAGGCCGTTCGGCATTGGTGTCACTATTTGTTCCATAAGGAGTTCATTTTGTATACGGATCATGACGCCCTTAAACACCTTGGTACTCAGGATAAGGTATCTACTCGATATGCCTCTTGGATTGCTTACTTACAGCAGTTTACTTTTGTGATCAAGCACAAGGCAGGTGCCCTTAACAAAATTACAAATGCATTGAGTAGGCGCCAAACTCTCCTTACAGAAATGCTAGTGGAGGTTCCAGGTTTTGACAGTTTGTGTGACTTATATGCTACTGACCCATACTTTTCCCATGTTATTCAGACGTTGCAGGAGGGTGTGCAGTCGGAGTTTGCATGGGTCGATGGTTTTCTTTTTCATGGCAATCAGTTGTGTATTCCAGAAGGCAGTTTGAGGTTGAAGATCATTCAAGAGTTGCATAATATGGGCCATGTAGGTCATGATCGAACATTGCAGCTTATTGCTGCTTCTTACTTTTACCCATCATTGAGCAAAGATGTCCGCAAGTTTGTGGAGCGTTGTCGGGTTTACCACTTGGCCAAGGGCAAGGCGACAAATGCGGGCCTGTATATGCCCCTGCCTATTCCAACCCAGCCTTAGACAGACGTGAGCATGGATTTCGTTGTGGGACTCCCCAGGACTCAACATGAGTTTGATTCGATCTTCATAGTGGTTGATCGATTTTCAAAAATGGTACATTTTATCCTCTGCAAGAAGACTACAGATGTTGTCAATGTAGCCTTACTGTATTTTCGTGAGGTTTATCGCCTGCATAGACTACTACATCTATTGTGTCTGATCAGGATACTCGTTTCCTCAGCCACTTCTGGCGCAGCTTATGGCGCTCGATGAATACACGGTTGGACTTCAGCAGTGCATATTACTCTCAGACAAATGGTCAAACAGAGGTTGTTAACAATTCCTTGGGTGATTTATTACATTGCCTGGTTGGTGATCACATCAAGTCTTGGGATCGGAAGCTGTGTCAAGCAAAATTTGCTCATAATCATGCTATTAACCGAAGTATAGGTTTTAGTCTGTTCCAGGTGGTGTATGGCCTTGTTCCTCGTGGTCCACTTGATCTGGTTCCAGTTTCTACTTCTATTAAAATGCATGGTATGGCCGAAGACTTTATTCAGCAATTGCAGCAGGTTCACTCACAGGCTCATGATCAGTTGCAGGCTGCTATCATGAGTATAAGCGTGCTGCAGATCTTAAACGCCGACATTTTGAATTTGAGGTAGGTGACTTTGTTTGGGCGGTGTTAATAAAGGATCGTGTTCCTACTCATGAATACAACAAGATTACTGCGAAGAAGGTTGGCCCATTGGAGGTCATTGAGAAGATCAATCCGATGCTTACCGTTTGAACCTGCCCATCCATATTCGTACATCTGACGTGTTCAATATCAAGCATTTGGTGCCATTTCGTGGTGATAATTCTAATGAGGATGAAGCTCATTTCCTGTCAAATTCGAGGGAGAATTTTTCCCACCTTGGGGAGAATGATGAAGTGTATAAGGGATTAGAGTTTATGATGAAATGGAACCGTCACAAGGCATAAAAGTGTGGTTTTTTATTTCATGATAACTTTGGGTTTGTTCATTTTTGGCGAATTACAAGTCTAATTCGATTGAAATCGAACCAATGAATAAAATTCAGCGCCTTTGGCCCTGATGCAAGGCCAATTTTGGGCAAACTCCATCGTTTAGGCTCTCGTTTAGGTGTTTTTGCTATTTATGGTAATTTTTGTTTTTGTAATATCTTTTTTCATAAAATTCGGATTTATATTCCATTTGTTGGAGGATGATCTTGAAGATAAGGATTTTCCATCTTAGTGGTTATCTCATATTTTTCTATTTTTGGAAAAATATCTTTTTATTCTATTTTTCGAATTTTGCTAGATTTTTTCTATTTAAGGCGTTGTAAGTCCTTTGAGACAACAGTGTTTTGAATTCAATAAAAATCTCCTTGAGATTTTTTTCATTTTGTGATTATTTATCTTTCCTATAATCTTCCGCTACGTCAATATACCTAAGTGATGTGTGTGTGTGTATTTGTGACAAAAGAGAGAATAGTGATAAGAGAGGAAGCCGAAGGTAGTGTGTATCTGAGCAGTGAGGATTTTTAAGTGAATAAAATATTAGAACGTGGCCTTGGTGTGTGAGTGTCCAAAATTGTATAATTCCATTTCATAAAATAGAAGTTAACGTTTCTATCTTTCAATATTTTTTGTGCAAAACATCCATACCTTTCATTTTTTAACAATTTTATCCTCACTTTCACATTTCATTACAGAAAAAATCATTCCATCCACCACCATCAAATGCTCCGTTAACTCAACAAAAATGCTAATTAGCAAAATTGTCCTCTATCTTTCAATATTTTTGAGCAAAACATTCCTACCTTTCATTTTACAAAGGTATGGATATTTTTATGCAACTTAATTTTCAAGGTAAGGATGTTTTCATAATGTATATTAAGCCCTTGTTTGAGCCCCATTCTTTTGAAAAAATTCATTTTTCAATAATATTTTAATATCCTTTCAACCACACATTTTTCAATAAAATAGTATTACATGTAAATTCAAAATTTTTCTTGTTTTTTGACCACATATTTTTCATCAATACACTATTTAAAAATTCATTTTCTCCCCCAAAATGGGGCTCAAACAAAGGCTAAAAGATAGGGTTAATACACGTAAAACGTATTAATAGGTATGGATGATTATCACAAGTTCAATTTTATGCTGAAAAGAAAAGAAGTGGTCCAGTTCATTTTCTCTATTCATATATGATGGGTCATTCATCATTAAAATCTGATGGGTTATTTACAGCATCACGTTTGCCATTGTTCTTATTATTTTGCCCTTATTTACACCCTTGATAAGCATAAAACGGGGAAGAACATCTCCAGTGTATTGATTACATATTCAATCTCTTCATCTATTGTTCAAATTTTATGAGTAATCTAGTATTATAGCAACAATCGTTTTTCTTAAGGTGAAATACAGCATTTTTTACGTCATTTATTATATATTTAATGAATTAACTATATATATTACATTTACTTTTAATTTTGAACAGTTAACTTTGAAGCGGGAAGAAGGGTCAATGGAAAAATTGGGTAAGACTATATTACCCTGGATTTTTGAAAAGAAAAATTGAGTTAACGGATTATCTGATGATGGGTGGATGGAATGACATTTTTCACAATGAAAGGTGAAATTGCCCAAAAAAGAAAGATGGGGATGTTTTGCATAAAAATATTGAAAGTGAGATGTTTTGTGCTAATTAGCCTTTGTTGAGTTAACGGAGCATTTGATGGTAGGTCGATGGAAAGAACTTTTTCGCAATGAAATGTGAAAATAATGGTGAAATTGTCAAAATCGAAATGTAGAAATATTTTGCACAAAAATATTGAAAAATAAGGATGTTTTATTATAATTATTCTAATAAAAGCCTATTTTGAGTGTTCAAATTCAACAGTTAGATATTAGAACTCAACACTCTTGTGCATTAAAAATTAATGCATCTGTTATATTTTGTTTCTATTATCTAAAACACTTTGGTTCAGCATATTGTAATAAAAGTTATAACTTATGAATACGGAATTAGTCACCAAATCAATGATCCTCAATTACCTCAATAAAATAGAGTTAAATGGGAAAAAAATGAACTCCAAAGGAATTAATGAACAATATGTTAAGTTCAGATCTACAATAATTTGTTGAGGTAGCGTTGTTATCAACATGTTATATCGTATTATGTTGTTAATAGAGTACTCATTAAATGACACTAGAACTTAGAAAACCTTCATATCTAACATATAAAGATGTTTGGTAAAAGGCAATAGATCCCAAGTTTACAGCTAAGGGTGGCAAATGGGCCAAACGGTTCGTCGGCTCGCCCGCTCAGCTCGCGAAAATGGAGCTTGTGGGCGGTTCGGGCTCGTAAAAACACGAGCCCGAGCGCGAGCCGAGTGGGCCAGTTCGGTGGGCGAGCCGAGCCCGCTCTTCTAGCACAATCCCACGAGTGGCTCGTTATAAACGAAAATGAGCCACGAGCCCAAGCTCATGGCCTCGTGTTTAAATGTGACCGAAACAGTCACATTTTTTTAAAAAGTGACCGTTTCGGTCACTTTATCAACGGACACTGACTTTTGTCAGTGACCGTTTCAGTCCCCTAGTTAAATTTTTTTTTGTTTTGACCGTTTTGGTCCTTATATTTTTTTCTTTTCTTCTTCTATAAATAGGGGCATTTAGCCACAAAATTCTCTACAATTCACTCTCAACTCTCAATTATCTTTCTCTCAACTTTCTTGTATTATGTTGATAGTTGTGAAATTTTTATATACAATTTATACAATATCCAATTCTCATTTCTCAGTTCTCACTATATTTATTGAAATTTCATTCAATTTTCATTTCTCACTACATTTATACAGTTATTCTTCTACTAGTTATTACTTATTACAACTAAACAAATGGATCCACACTCATTTGTCGAAAACTTGTTCGGTGTGGGAGGAAACGAATTGCCTATGACACCGCAAAGTCAATTTCAGAATCAATTTGAATGTTTAAATGACGTACCCCTACCTAAAGATATTCCAAATTTAGATCTTCATCATCATGTAAGCGGCAATCAAAATTATCCAATTAATTTGGATGATGTTGACATTCCCGAAGTGGAATACGATCAGGAAGAAGAGACTGAATTAAACATTCCTGGTGCGAGGGGAAAGCGAAAGGGGAAAAAATAAGCAAAATGTTGGGATCACTTTAAATTAATTTCAACGGAAAAAATCGTCAATGAAATCCAAGAATCCAAAGCAGTATGTAAATACTGCCAACAAAAATTGGCATAGCAAAGAGGAATTGGTACCACCCATCTCAACCGTCATTACAAAGTATGTGCGGCCAAGCACGGACTTATTCCAGGCTGTCAAACACAATTGCAATTTGGCAGTCCAGATGCCGGTGGTTCTACTGCACCCCTATCCACATGGGTGTATTTGGAGGAGAAAGCTCGAATCGGAATGGTGAAACTTGTTGCTGGTGCTGAGTTGCTTTTGGCATTAATTGACAACCAACACTACATCTCGTATGTGAAAGAATATCTGCAGCCAAAATACGTTGAGGTAAGTCGAAACATTCTTCGTTCCGATACAATACAATATTTTACTTCAACAAAACAACAATTAATTATGGATTTGCAAAAATATGGGGGTGTCATATCTTTAACTTCAGATATATGGGAAGAGATTAATAAAAGAACATATATAGCTGTAACTGCACATTATATAGACCTACTTTGATGCAAGCATAAAAAAATTATTGCTTTTAGAATTATTGAGTTTCCTCACAACGCTAATAATATATTTAATGCTATTATTAGTATTGTTAGAGAATATCATTGCTAAGGTAAAATTCGTTTATTTACTTTCGATAATGCTAGTGTTAATAAAGTAGTTGCTGAATAATTGCATAGGGTACTATAACCTAATTTTGGTGGGTATTTGTTTCATATTCGTTGTGTATGTCATATTTTGAATTTAATTGTCCAAGATTGTTTAAAATATATAAAGGATGAACTTCAAAATATTAGGAACGCACTAATATATATCACAATCTCTCCAAGTAGAAAACAAGCATTTGAGGATTATTGTGCCGAAATAGGAGTGCAAAATGCTAAAACATTTGTTAGCGACGTAGGTCGTAGGTGGAACTCTATTTACTTGTTATTAAAGTCATTTAAATGTTTTGAACATTTAATAACTGACTTTTATAACAATAGACATGTTAGAAATGATGACGATGGTATGTTGACTGAATGTGATTGGCATTTAGCTTTGAAAGTTAAAAAATTTTTGACATCTTTTTATAAAACCACTAAGATTTTATAGGGCGTTTACTATCCCACCAGCTGTATGGTGCTTGAACGTCTTTATATAATTGTAAGAACATTTCATAAATACAGAAATGACCCTGATTTTAGTGAAATTATAATTACTATGGAAGTAAAATTTAGAAAAATATTGAGAAAATTTGCCTATGTTATTTCTTTTAGCATACGCGATGGACCCCTGATATAATTTATTGTGAACTAAATATATAATTAATCAAATTTCAAACATCTTAACATTTGATACACCTATCACATATAGAAATTTAGAGCAAACATTATGGAAATGTATGAATTATATGCGAACCAAATGGGTACCAATATTAGTCGGGTACTATC